AGTCACGGAGATCTTGGGGGAGGGAATTCCAGAGCCTAGGAGCTGCCACTGAGAAGGCTCTGTCCCCAAAGCTGCAGAGTGTGGATGTGGGAATGGATAGGAGTCCGGCTGCGGTGGATCTGAGGGACCGTGGGAGTGAGAAGGTTTGTGAGATAAGGGGGGGCCAAATGGTGGAGTGCTTTGTAGGTGAGGACCAGAATTTTGTAGTTGATGCGATGGGAGACAGGAAGCCAGTGGAGGTCTTTTTGTAGATGTACAAAAACACCAATGTAGAGCTGGAGGGAGAGGATGTTCAGAGGGTTCAGCCTAATCTAAGCCGATTTACTGTAATCCGGACACTTAGACTTGAAAACAGGTTAGTTACCAGTTTGTAGCTCTGCATAATTCATGATATATCGGTGCTTATATCTGTTGTGTGAAACCTATTTACTTCATTACTTTAATTGAATTGTTGGCATACTATAACTGTACAAACATTCTGCACATTAGACTGTGGTAAACTTACTTTTATGCAACACAGACACTGACCAACCACTATATCTTTGTTGTTTATCTGAAGGACTGAGAAACAAAGAGGTGCAGGTGGAAGGTTAAGGATTTTCAATGAGGCACAGTTAGCAGCAGTTACAAACTGGGTTTTGGCAAACAATGCATAGAGAGAGAGATCCGAAGCATAGTAACTATGTGCTGAGATGCTTGTTGCACAATGTGATTTTTGAATAAAATGTGATTTGTTTTCGACAACTCATTTGTATTTCTTCATTTACTGTATTTCTGTAAACTCAAGCAATCTTTCTCTGCACAAACCTCTATGTACAGAGCATAGCCCATAAAAGATGAAAGTGCTTTAGATGATGCTCAGCAGTGTGTAGCTGGGTGGTCAAATAATCCAGTATTATGAATGAAGTGTGTTATATTTGGTGCAAAAGTTGTTTATGTAGTTTTGAGTGCAGTTCTTTATTTAGCAGGAGAAATTAGGTGTTTTGCACTTTGGGTGTGTGGTTTTGTGAATTGTGTTTAGTGTTCTGAGAAACTGAGCAATTTAAAAAAAAACGTGTGTTAGCAATCGAGAAAAACTGTAACACAGCATCTCTCCAACCATAGGAACAAATAGAATATCAACATTTTAGAATATTTTTCAAGCTTTGAATTTTGTATTTGATATGACACTGAGATGTCTCCTTTATATGTTGTTATGGATAAGAACTTTTCAATATTCATAATATTTTTGACACATTGTAAATCTAAATGTACTGATAAGTGGAAAACAAGGGAAAACCAAAAGATTAGACGTCCCTAAAACAGATTGCCACGATTTGTTTAATACTTATTGCTTTTTCTTCTGTATGCAAAACAATGCATTGGAGCTTTGGAAAACCAAAAGATTTGACGTGATTTTACAGTATGTGAGAGAAACTCCCAGTGTGGTGAACGTTGGGATTTTAGCCTTTTCAGACCATTTACATGCACTCAAATCTATATAACACACTACAAAGGTCCTCTTTAGTTCAAGTCTTGGAAGCAGAAGCACAACAATAGATCTGATTTGCTACATGAATATCTTTCATCCCGTCTGTGAATGCTACTGCACATCGGCAGAAATATGAGGTCAACAGCAGCTTTGTTTATATGATAAAGATGCTATGCTGTATATCCACATTAAGTATAATTGATCAGATTATGTAGTGGAAATGCATTCCTAACCACTACTTTCTACTTCCCAAGAAGAAGAAGAAGTGTGTAGCGCTCAGCAAAGCCATTGTTCAGAGCTTTCATGGAATTCAAGCCAAACGTCAATAGCAATCAGTCTATGATCCAAATGCACATTTAATACAATCCAACTAATCCTCCTATCCTCCTATTCTCCTAGTCTCTCTCTTACACCAGCTGAGGATAAACACAAACCAAATGCCCCTGTGAGGAAGTCCAGATGATTGCTGAGCCTTTCTCCAAGAAGAAATAATTGGAACGGTTCGATGAAGACCTCAGTAAATATTTGATTTGATCACACTGCTTCATGAACACCATTTCCTTTGCATTGTCAACCCAAAAACTCAGACACAAGGAACAGCTATGGGATGAGCAGGGATTTTTTATATTAACTTACTAATCAACACGTCTGTTTAAAGTTCTGTGCCCGAGTCTAATTGCCAAGATTTAGTTTCGAGACATTTGCTGTATATTGTCCCAGGCGACAATCATTAAAAGCAGATAGACAGTAAGATTATTATCCCCCTCCCTCACTCTGCAGGCTGTAATATCTGTCATGAGAGGTTGTCATTGTAGTTACAGTGACGGACAGAACGGCCTCTCATGGTTGTCCGGCCGACAAGCGGTACGATTCATTAATCAAAGCTCGCGGCTCTGGGGGGGATCACCCTTTATGACAGGCAGCCATAATAATCCATCTCTACTCCTCACACCCCCACGCTGATCCATCAAGTCAACACGCCTCGCTGGAGATAAGAGAGCGAGCAAAAACGTTGTGAAATAGAGTAATGGAGTGATCTCTTAGCCGATTCCCAGAGTAATTATGACTGTCATGGTGATGTGAGAGGCTGATGAGCAGCCCCGTCTGTGAAGTATACTGATAAACAAATCATTTGGTCTGAGTGGAGTTTCATGTTAAGAAAAGCTTGGTTTGATGTCTGTTAAAGTAAAAAAAAAGAAGGGTAAAACAGTTACCATTCTGTAATATAACTGCATAGACTTACTCCAACCGGTCAAGTTGCCCTTTACATCCATTTCTGTCCAAAATGTCATCACCTCATTATTTAGACTGAAGTGTGAATTCTTGAGTTATTGCCAGAAACTCATTTTGTGAGTGACATTGACCGAATTCTTATTAGTTCTTCCTTGACTCACACTTGAAGTATTTGCCAAATGTGAAAAATGCCCTAAAGCCGTTCCTGGGATATTGCATTCACGGAAAAAATAAAAGCTGTGATAAAAAGCAAAGCAGAGGGGAAACACCACATGTAATCATTTGTCTCAATTTCTAAATACTATCTAATCAATTCACTTTGGAAAAATAAGATAAGGTCTCCCTTGTAGATGTTACATTAACTAACTAACTAACTAACTAACTTAAGAGTCTAAATGTATATTTAGGGTGCACCTAACTCAACAAAAAGCAACCATTTCCTCAAATGTTATTCCTTGAGGTTTCATGAAATATTTGAGCTCAAAATACTTTTTTACTGCAATTACTTCCAGATCTTTGCAGTAAATCTTTGTATATCCAATTTAAAACATTGTTGCCAGTCCTTTAAGTAGACAATCAGGAATTCAGCCAAACACGCTCCCTGCTATCTCTAAATCCGTTTGCTTTGCATTGATTCAAGTTCCACCTAACACTCCTCTCTGTAATAAAAGCAGTACATTCTAACCTTTAAGTCTCTTTTCTCACATATGATGTCATGTCACCTCATCTTTCTTTTTAAGAGCCTACAGGGAGCGTTTTCTCTGCATGTGTAACTCTAGCTAAGTATAAATTTGCTTTATCCTATAAAATATATTTTTTTAAAACAGAATAAAGTTAACAAGCTACTCTCATTATGTTCCAGCTTGTTTCCAGGTTTTATGTTCATGACAACATGAATCTGGTGTGTTGTTGGCTATCCGTCTATAAAAAGCTGAACCACTGCCTTCAACATCTCTGTCGACCCACACAGGCAGGTACACACAAAGGCGCGTGAGCGCACACACACACACACACACACACACACACACACACACACACACACACACACACACACACACACACACACACACACACACACACACACACACACACACACACCATCAGGAGTAATCTGAGATATAAAGCCTCATCGATCAAACTGCTCTCCCTCGAGGATTATATCATTGCCCAGCAAATAGCCAATCAGAGCCCAGCTGAGACTGTCCGCTCTGTGACCCCATATCCTGTCAAAGTAAAGGCAGAAAGAAAGAGAGACACACACACACACACACACGTCACAAAGAGGCATCGATATGACTCCCTCAGGTATTGAGTGTTTATATGTGAACCTGCACCACTGCATTGCTTCTCTATATAAAGTAACAATGGTTCATGTTGGGGGAATTTTTCTGTTGTTTCTACAAAAATCACAATTACTAATTCTCCCTCTCACATACAAAAGGATATATTGTTGAAAAAGCAATAGACATGCCGAGTGAATTAGGCTGCATAACTCTGCAGAGGTGGCTTTATGTGTACAGTATATACGGTACTCAAGTTTAAGCGGGGCAGGGAGAGGCACACGGAGCGTTTAGGTGCCAACTTCCAGTCTGTTTCATAATGCAGTGCTAACATTCTGGTGAAGTAGATACAATACAGTCGTAAACTGAGAGGTCGTTGTTGAATAGTACTTTTAGTTTTGCCATTTAATACCAGATGTTGGTGAATAGTGAAAAAACTTTTCTAAATGCCGTTAAAAAGATGATATATTTGTTTGCACCCTGCTTGTCTAGGGGTCATCAAAACTGGATGAGAGCCATTTCCGAAATAATCTCGAGAAAGAGTTTCACAAACAAAATTTAAAAAAGCAATTGTAACCAAAATGTAAATTGTATTTGCAATATTCAAAATGTCCAGGCTTCATATTATCTCCTATCACTCTTACCATTTTATTTTCTTTCATCTGCTTGTTGCTATTCTAATGAAGGCATAACATCGCAAATGGCCTACATTTGCAAAAAATGTAATACATATTGTTTTGCCCATTTGTATGTTTTTGATGTTGTTTGTGAGCATTGGATGACGCAATTGGGCACAGGGTATTTAGCTGACCTCACCGGCACAGGTGCGGGTGATTGAGTCTGTGTGAGCAAACCGTTTTCGACCGTGTTGCAAACACACACTGTTGTAACAAGAGTGTCGTGGTCGTAAATTGGAGAGCGCACGTGTATATCACAGTATCGATCCATGGTGATATCTGCCTACAAACTCCACCTCCACTTCCCAAAAGAAGTGTCTGAATGCAGAGTCCACGTACCTTGATGTATCCGCCAGTGGAGACCAGTAGAGAGTTGTCAGGGGAGAAGTGCAGGTCGGTCACCCAGCCTCCGTGCAGAGAGTCCATGGCGTCCTTACCGTCCCGGGAACAGATCCTCAGCAGAGAGCCGTCTTTGATACTCCAGAGCTGTGGTGGACATTATACACCAAGCATCAAATAAATATCACTTATAAACAACAAAGATGCCATACTCCGGTATCATTCAAATTGACTACCCTAATTAGTCATTTCGGGACAAAAATGTCCACTGCTAAAAACATTATCTTAAAATATTTTTTCCACCGCTTTTTTTGGTTCAAACTTTAAAGCAACTTCAGTCCTAATCAAAAATATCAAATATTGAATCATTTTCAGGATTTTAACCCTTTAAATTCCCTTTTGAAACATGAAATCACTGTTTGTTTTTAACAAAAGAACTGAGAAAATTAGTTATTTTCCATATAATACATTTATAGTCAGATTTAAAATGTACTACCCTGATTAGCCATTCAGGACAAAAATGTCCAGAGTGATACCGGAGGGTTAAAACACACAAGACGGCACCTACATCAATTTCATTGTAAGGGATAATTACATTTCTTTGGATTTATGCTAGCTTATGTCTATGTCTGTCAGGTCACGTGATAACAAGTACAAGCCATATTTTATGAAGATCTAAAACATTTTTTGACAAAGTTCTGTCTCTAAAGGTCAAGACGAGGCTTCAAACTCAATAAAGCGAGAAATGAAGAGTGTTATACAGTGTTAATCTACCCGTGACGCCCTACATAATAATGAAACGATGGTTTGATCACTGTAGCGTCACATCATGTCGATTGCAGCTGTTATGCAACTGGTCACATGCCATGTCCATTTGACAATGACACATCACACGTACAGCTATATTTAACACTTGGCATGCTTTTTGTGCTGAATGACTCACATTTGTTTCCATAGAAACAGGGGTGAGATTTCAGTGTGCTTTATGTAATTGGATATGATGGAGTCGTCCATTCCTGGATAATGGGGCAGAGCAGCTGAGGCCACCACAGGGCGTTAACCCCTCGTTGGCTGCAGGATGAAGAATCTTCCTCTCACACAGCCACACTTTTCATTTACTGTAGATTTCCGAAGCCTCTTGGGTCCATGTTTGGCAGCCGGAGTCCTCTCTCCTTCACCTCCCACTGTCAGACATCTCCTCCTCTTCCTGCTCTCTTCATCCAGACATCCTCACACAACCTGCACCTCCTCAATCTCTCGCTCCCCAGGCGGAGGAGGAGGAGCCCTGCCTCCATCCTTTCATCTCGCCCTCTTCTGTGCACACAGCAGCGATCATGATGCATTAGTAAGCACTTTCTCTAAATGAGTGATGAGTTCTAATTACGGGCTGATCTCTGGAAGACATGTCGACTGCTCTAATTGAGTTTTTGTATGTTGCACGGCAAATTGGATGTTTTGCAACGGGCAACGTGTGTTTGAACTCACGTGTGTATCCTGGGGCACACGGAAAAAACGTTGACTTTAGTTTAAATATATAACTTCAACAGATTTCACATAACTGTGTATTGAAAGCAATAAAAAGCACTTAATATTATTAATTTCAAAAAGCTTAAATGTGAAATCTGTTGACGTAATACATTTATTGAAAGTCAACCTTTCCGTTTTTTCAGTGCAAATGACCTTACTCTCCTCTAAAAGGTTCTGCTGCCCATTTTCTACATTTTCTTTTACTTAGACACTGACAGCAGAATCAGCTCGCTAATGGACCTGAATTCCTCGATCAGCAACCCTTAGTGAGAAATGCAAAGGTTAAGGAAATAATGAACCGTCGGAACACGCACCCGAATCTCTCCGTTGTCATCTCCCGTGGCGAGGCGCTGGCTGTCCCAGGAGAACCGGCAGCTCCGGACACAGTCCTGGTGGCCGCTCAGCGTGTGGACGCACTGCCACGACTCACAGTGCCACAACTGGGAGGATAACATAAAGCATTATGGAGACTGAAAAGAAGAAATAAATGACAATGTATACATTATGACTTGGGTTAGTGTAGAAATCTGCCTTTTTCACATTGCAATAGTTCAATATTAGCCTAAACATTTCTTATTTAAGAGGAAGGCATTTAGAAGACGACTCAAATAACTGTTTCTGTTGTCTTTGAGTTATTTATACTGTTGGTTAAGTCTGATTATATAAATGAAGACAGCAGTGTTGACCGGGGAATAACTGCCTTCACGACTTCATACCATTCACCTGTTTGCATCTCACATATTTACATATTATTACAATAAGCTGTATTTTATTTAAGTGTACAGTATTTTATTTTAAATTATATTTTTAGCTCATATTATTCTATTTTACATGCATATAGTATACTTCTCTTGCAATACTTTCACATTATTCTTAGTCAATCTTTTTTTTCATTATTTTTTATTTTGTTTAATTATTTGATGTCTAATATATATATATATATGTTGTTGTTGGATGATTTCCATTGCCATACTGTATGACAGTAACGCCTTTATATGTTGATAATATGTTGTATTTCTGTACTCACCAGTCATCACTAATTAAAAAATCTAATGAAAGACAAATATTTGTGCGAAATTGGAGTTACTGTTGCTAGAACGCTGCATCACAATAATGAAACTGTTAATGAGTGCTTTCTCACTCTGTTGTTTTCTGTCTCTCACTTTCTTTTGAATTCCCTTCTTAGTGTTCTGTGTCTCTCTATATTCCTCCATTCTTCCTCTTCCACTCTCTCTCTGCCTTCCTTCCTGACCCTGGTCACATTCTGTGCCGCACAGAAAATAACACAGCTCATAATTAGACACTTCATTTGGCAGCGGGCTAACTCTGTCTGCACACAAAGTCCCATTCATGTGAAGGTCAGTAGGAAAAGAAAGGAGAAGAGGAAGCAGAGAAATAGAGGTGGAGGAAAAGGAACGGAGAAGTCTCCATCTTTTTGTAATGCTCAACAAAGACACTCGCTTTAGGTTTGACTTCTGGATCAATAGAGAGCAGGGACTCTATGTTTGTGTGAGCTACCGATGCCCTACTCGGTCTGGAGAGCACTGACTCTGTGACTTGCATCTTACCACACACACACACACACACACACACACACACACACACACACACACACACACACACACACACACACACACACACACACACACACACACACACACACACACACACACACACACACACACACACACACACACACACACACACACACACACACACTACTCGTCTCGTCTCGTACGTACGTACGTCGTCGACACACACACGGACAACCAATTATCATCTTTGGCCAAATCCCTAAAACACACATTCTCTGTCCCACCTAATCCTCTGACAAAGGCCAGGTTGCGCTGCAGTGGCTGCTCGCTACAGGAAGTGCTACACCGCAATTCCAAATTCCCGTGTTGAAACTCGGGACAGCTGCTCTACATCTCTATCGGCTCAGAACAGTCTCCGATAATACCACACAGCACACAGAAGGATTCACACTTTGTATTTCCGGATCCACACTGTGTTTTCATGCACACACAAATGTGTTCCGTTTCATGATACATGTAAATAAAATCCAAACACAGCGAAAAGGTTTTTACATGTTTTAGGGAAGCCCAGTTCTGCCCCACTTGAAAAAAATACCACGACCGACTCCCCATTGAAAAGTTACATAACATGTGTGAAGGTGAGATAAAAAAGTCGAACATTATGAGATAAAAAGTGAAATAATGAGATAAAAAGTCAT